CCATGGATAATTGATGAGAAATTCTTAAATGATCATCGTATTGATTATGTAGCACATGATGACATTCCATATTAAACTGCTGATGTAGATGATGCTTATGCTTTATGTAAGAAACTTGGAAAATTCAAAGTAATATTAAGATACATTGATTAATAGGCAACAAAAAGAACAGAAGGAATATCTACAACTGATATCATAGGAAAGATATTAAAGGATAGACATAAATATTTAAAAAGAAACATTGAAAGAGGAATGAGTCGATAAGAATTAGGAATGGGATTATGGGAATATTATTAATTAAAATATGATTGGTTATTTTGTTAAAAAAGAAAAAGAAAGCAAGATTGATTATATTTGGTATAATGTATGTAATATATCAATGTTTTGTTTATTATTACTTTCTCATGGCTCTATAAAGATTTTAAACAAGTTCAATCTTTCTTTTTCCTCTTCTATTTGTACCCAATCTCTTAGCTGCCAATTTTCCTGCCTTCTTTAAATCTTTAGGTTGATTAGTTTTAAATAATTCAATAATTCTTTTTTCATATGGACTTAAACCTGCTACTTCTTAAATAACTTTTCTGACAGAAAGTACTCTCTTACCCAATGTTCCTTTTCTTTATGAAGGTCTTCTTCTTAATTGCTTTTTTGTTAAAGCTGATGTTATGAATCCTCTATTCAAACCTACTGCAATTCCTGTTCTGCCCATTTATTTTTAAAATGATATTTTATTTTTAAATATTAATCATTCAATCAATTCATTATTTTAGACCTCAAATTGCTATTGTAAATCCTACTCATATTGCAATTTCTCATTATTTCTACTAACAATATTCATTTTCTTTAATCTAAGTACATTTAAGAACTTTGAAAATTATTCTCCATTCTTAATTCCTAATTCATCTAACATTTTCTTCCAATAAGCATAACTACTATTATCCTAATTTATTATATAAATAATTACTTCTCTAATATATATTTCTGGATTACTTGGTTTTCGAATCATATTATTAAATATAAAATAACTTACTAAATATTTATCAAATTCTTCTAAATTATTGATGTCAACCAATTTATCAAATAATTTCTTACTTAATTGAGTATCTATCTAAATATATGTATCTTCGTCTGCATTTAAATCATTATGATTTTTTTTCATGAAATCATCTCTTAATTTATGTAATTATTCATTTAATTTTTTTGTCATATATTCTTTGAATTATAACTTTACTTTTTTATCTTTTATAGGTATCTTTGCTTATTTCAATTATTTCAATTAAACTACTTCATCAAATAACATGTCTTCATAATTTCTTTATTATCTTCTTAATTTAGTTTCATTCTTATTATCCTCCTATTATTTATTATTTCTATTGTATTGATAATAAGAATTCAATCGTTCATGTCTCAATTTCACAAATTCTAAAAACCAATAAATATCTGTAATTACTCTATTCAATAATATTTCTTTCATTTTCATTTAATTTCTCTAATAATTCTTCAACATGTTCTACACAAAATAATAATTTCTAATCTTGTATTCTCAAATATGGTTTCATATAATTGTATAAACATTCCATTGATTCCTTATTCATTATACCTCCATTCACCTTTACACATCCTATATGAAATGCCTCTTAACATCCTTAATAGTAACATTCCAATTAAAATCCATCTGTTTTCTGACAATATCTGCATTTAAAACCTGTCTAAATATTTACTTCACATGTATATAAATTATGACTTTAATTATTTAATATTAGGAAAGGATTCCATCTTAAACAACTTGAATGTGCCTTTTAATTAATACTATTTATATATACCCATTATTATTATCCATTTATTTACACTTATTCTAAAATCTAATATTTTTCTGGACAAAATTAACAATTTATTTCTTAATCTTGATTATCAGTCATTGCCAAACATTTCTAACAATACCATTTTGCTCCCAAATTTATCACATGATAACACTCTTAATGAACTGTTACATCACATCCATCACAAAATACTATTTAATTTTATTCTGTATAATCTTATTCTTCACATATTAAACAGAATATATTCTCATCTTTTATATGATCGATATTCTAGCCTATTTATTATTATTGTTTACCATTTTTTGAACTTGCTTCTCAGATCTACTATCATCCATTTCTTATTTATTTATTATTCCTTACTCATTTCATTAGTTCAAATACTTTATTTTATATAACTAAATATTTCAGTGATTTAAATATAATTCATTATATCCATTATTTTTATCAACTTTTTTTCACTTATTTTATATTTATATATATATCATTACAATTATAACGATATTAATATATTTTATTGTTTATAACCATACTTTCCTATTATTAATATAATTTTCATGATTTTTGATACAATTATAGGTATAATATTCAACAATCCTTTATCAAGCCAGAGCCAATGATGGATTATTGCTTTGTGAAGTACAATCTAATGAAAAAGTCTAATTAAGTTTAGAAGTCAAAAGATAAGTCAAATTCATATTAAAACGTGGCAATCTATTATCAGATGTCTAATATCAATAATTGGATTCTCAATAAACCAATGTTAAGGGTATTCTACAATTCTCTATTACAAGCTGTTTACAAAACTTCAATAGGCGTTTGTTATGTAGTCTTTTATGATCCTAGTCTTAATCTCAAATTAGCTTGTTGTTATCTTGATGAAATTGAAAAAGGATTTCAAGATGTAACTCTATTACTTAAGCTATAGGAATTATAAATTAGATATGGCACTTCTAATGTTAATTATCGATCTAAATTAGAAACCATTGAAAGCAATGATTCATATTGCTTTTAATAATTCGGTATTTATATATTCTTATTTCAAACTTAGAAAGATTTATTAAAAAAAAGAAACAAGAATTTCAAGATTAATCATCCTCTAAAAATTTAGAAAGATTGAAAATGGAAATGACAGAACTCAAAAAAATTATGAATGATAATGTTAAATTACTCTTTGATAGAGATGAAAAATTGCAAGGTTTTTATCTAATTGCTTATTTTTAGACATGAATGAAAAGGCTAAATCTTTAAAAGAAGATTCTAAATTAGTAAAATTTACATTCATTATTTTTTCAGTTTAAAGATAAAGCTGCAGAGTTAGAATGGTCTATTTGGTTTAAAAAAAATTCTGTTTGGTTCATTTTTGGAGGATTTCTGATGATCTTCTTATTTTTCAAAATTTATTGAATACAATAATATGCTTTTGTACATGGAATTTTATTATTTTCAATATATATATAACTCTAAATCAAGTTTTAGTTTATTCATTGTCTTTTTATTTATTCTAAAAAGTCTTATTCCAAATGTTTAATTGAGAAATTAACTAATTGAAGGCTATGATTGTTGGTTTCAATAATTTTAGTATTTTATTTCTTAAGTTGTTAAATCAGATTTCTAAATATTTCTGAATTTTCGTTTGTATTCTATTAAATCAATATGAGATTTTCCCATTTGATTATTAAAGTTTCTTTTAAATTTATTACTAATACCTAAAAATTAATGAAGTTCATTTTAAAAGTAATCCCTTGCAATTTGATGAGTAACTTTACTATTTTCAAAAAAGGACATTGCTTCAAATTCATCTAATTATTCTTCCTATAATTTAACAATTATGTTTAAATGTAAGTCTTATAGAACATTTTTCACCATAGAAATTAAGTTTATAATTTCAAACTAAATTAGAATTTATGATAAAATTACTTAATCTTACTAAAAATTTCTTGATTTAAAGAGCAAATCCACATTTTTTAAGTACTATTAAATTTCTTAATATTCATTTTAATATTGAAATAATCCAATAACTGCTTTAGACTCTATTATTTCAAGTAATCCATATAATTTTTCTGCAGTGCCAATTTCTAAATTCTTATCTATTTCTTTAATCAGATAACTAATTTCTCTGAGCTTTTATTCAACTTTACTCTTATCTTTGGTTTATTTTTTTAATTTTTCAATTTCTTTGATATCTTACTCCAACATCTTTTCTTTGTCTTTGATCATATTTTTGAAGTAATTGACATCATTTTTAAGATCTTCATTTAAGAATTTAATCATTTGTTAATAACTTTCTAGTTCATATTCTACTTTAGATTAACAGAGATTATAAATCTAAAAATTGGAATAAATATATTTACCTATTGCTCGAATGTCTCCAAGAATTCGTTATTTTCTTTTTCATAAGTAAGTTCTTCTTCCACAAATTTAAACATCAACTATATCGATTCAAAAGCGACTCTTTGATCTATTCCTTAGTCTTATTTCTTTATCCAATTCATGATTTTTGGAAAATATCGTTCTAAACTAGTTTAATTATAACTTACCTGTAGCAGTCTAACCTATAAAGGAAATCTATTATGTTAAATAAAGTAAGGATATAAGAATGAATATTATTGACATTTAATTTTATTGTTTTTTTCCAAATAACGAATGTATTTATTCAAGTTAACTACTTAATAAAACTGAAATTATTAATATAAAAAGTTAATTTTGTTATTAATTAACAGACATATTACTACATCATAAAAATATTTATTAATCAATATAAAATAAAATTCAATATTAATAGATGATTTGGTATTTAGGTATATATAGAATTGAATTATAAAAGCTGAACTATTGGGATTAATACAGATAGATAGAAACATAAAATAGTATGAATATTAAACTCATCCATCATATGCAGGAAACTTTATAAGATTTGGATTAGATGGAATAGTTGGTGAATATGTTTCAACAGTGTGCTAAACATTCTTATTTGCATTAGCTTTATACTTCACTCTTTCATGTTCATCTTATTATTACTTTTTCAAAAAGAATAAAGAATTGTATTTACCAAAATTAAATGCTAAATTTTATATCTTTTATGATATCAAATGGTCAATCATAAACATGTTTTTTGAGACATTCTTAGTATCTATAATAAGAGTAGCGTAACCAAGATTCAGTTTGATGTATTACAATATAAGTGATTATGGATATTGGTATATTCCTATAAGTATAATTTTACATATAATATTTGATGAAACATTGACGTACAAAATTATCATATTAATTAGATATTGGGTACATAGATGGCTTCATACATATGGTTATTTGTACATAAAATTGCATAGAATTCATCATTTTTCAAAAGATATCACACCATTCAGTGGATTTGCATTTCATCCATTAGATGCATTTGCTTAAGCAGTGCCTTTATTTACATCTTGTTTTCTTTTTCCTATTCATATGAATTTGTTCCTTTTTTTCGGTTTATGTACAACATCTTGGGTAAATTTATATTTATATATAAAATTAAGGCAATTTCAATTCATGATAATGTTCCAGCTCTACCATTAAAATTTTTATTATATAGTACCCATCATACAATACATCATGAACCAGGATTGGGAGGAATGAAAAATTTTGGTAAATTTACATCCATTTGGGATAGAATTATGGGTACTTATGAAGAACCAGATAGAATCAATTTTGGATGGAAATAATAATAACAATAATTGAATAAACTAAAAAAAGTAAATGATTTTTATGAATCTATCTTACCTAGTGATTTGAATAAGATTTAAAAAAAATAATGAAATAATGTTTAAACTGAGTTTAATTTAAAATATGTAAATCATTCATCACCATTTTAATCAAAGTTTACAAAATAAGTAGATATTGTAGTATTATTTTATGACAAAAAGACCTCTTATGCAAATTCAAAATCGAAAATACCAATGCATTCTTCATCACTTTCTATTAAATCTTTTGTTGCTTCACTTACCATTATTTTACCTTCTTACCCTTTTGATTCCATCTTATTGGCTGTTGTAACATCCTCTCCATATATATCATATCTAACAACATCTGTTCCTACAACACCTCCTATTACTTTCCCTGTATGGGCTCCAATTCTCATATTCAAATGTTAAAATTAAGGATCTTTATTTATCTATTGAATTATCTATATCATCTTTAAACCAAACAAAACAATATTTATAGCCTATTAATATTATTTATTAATATACTTCACCAACAGGATCTCTATTATTTGCATCTATAATACCCATACATACATAACAATCTCCAATTGTATATAATTTATAAACTTAAAATTTTTAACAGGCTTCATCAAACTATTAAAATAAAATTCTAAGCATATTGACAACTTATTCTGGTTCTACTGAACTTGAATATTTTGTAAATCCTGCAATATCAGCAAACAGAATTGTACAATTTTGAAATACATCTGTGAAATTATCTGTTGTTGTAATATCTGTTGAAAAAAATCTACCTATTATATGTTAAGGTAACAAATATTATAAAATTTATGTTTATTTTGCATTTTTAGATTCAAATTGTGAAAAACATTAATAATTTTCAGCCAAAATCTTTAATTCTTTTTCTTAAATCATCAAACTGGATATTAGGATACAAATCGAGAAGAAAATAATATTCAATATATGTTCATTATAAACTAAATTTATTAATATTAGTATTGTATATAAGACAGATAATTTTATTCTATCCTTTCTATTGTAAATTTATAAATAAAATAAGTTCAAATAAACAGCAGTCATTTAACTTATTTAAAATATCAATTCCATTTGAATATCGTGAACATTGATTATTAAAATGCTATTTATACAAAATATTATGATGTAAAAGGCAATGAGCAGTTTTAAAATGAATATTTTTTTGACATGATAAATTACTATTGATAAAATCAAACAAATAACAGATTAACAAATAAACATCACTTATAATTCTTCACTTATTGTTTACAATAGATAATACAATAAATTTTTAATAATCAACAATATTATAATAAACACAATAAATATCCTTACCTATTTAATATCGAAATCTTTGTATTAATCATAAATTGAGAAATATTAATCATGACTATCACTTTTATAATCAGACTCTTAAATACCATATTTTTATATTTCAACTTTTTCTTCCATATTTTTCAAATCATATTCATTTTAATAAATGCTCTCTTCAATATCTATTAATTTTCTTATCTCCATATCATCCATATGAGATTATAGCTTTAATTCTTTAGGTGTTTTGTGAACAGACAAAGATTCAATCCTATCAATAAAATCTATTTATTTTTCTACTATTATTCTTGTTCTCTTTCTTTTAGCACTAGGTTATTCTGCTCTTACACTTTCTGCCATTTTTTAACCACTAGTTCCCATTCCTAAGATTTAATCTTATTCAGGTATATTAGTTTTGGTACCTGCCCTTTTATAAACTGATTTTCTTGATTTCATAGGATTTAATTCAAATGCTAAATTTGATATTCTTTTTGTATATTAACCTACTGCACTATATCCTCCTAAAGGAATGCTAGATTTTAATCCATCTCCTTATATATTATTCATATTAAATTTATCTTTTTCTTTCTCTTTGTCTTTCTCTTTTTCTTTCTCCTTTTCTTCTTATTTATTATTATTAGTATTATTATTATCTTAATCTTATTCATTTGGCGTAAGCAATCCAATTTAGTATGAAGAATTAAATACTGATCTCGATGAAGCTCTTATCATTGGTTAAATAGATTATGGAGTTGCATTTGGTATTAATTTTAAATTTAAATTTATATTTGTATTTTAAATTGTAATTGGGCCAATATCTTATTTATCCTCATTTATAGATACTTTTTTTAAAATAGTTTTTTGTTTATTCTTTAGATTTTCCTAAATTTTTTTAATCATTTAATTCTATAAATGTGGATTAGGAGATTTCGAAACATCATCAGCAACTTTAAGAATTGCCTATTATTGTCTTTTATTACCCTTAATAAATTAATATGTTTTGATAGTTCCTTTGCCTTTTGCTTCAACTTCTCTTAATTTAAATTAATATTTTTTATTGCATACTTTGTCATAAGCTTATTAACTTAAAGTGATAATACCTGGTTCTGATGTTGAACATACTCTACTAGTTGTATTGACTGTATCTCCTATTAAAGAAAATTATGGTTTATGTGCCCCTATCACACCAGCAATTACTCTTCCATAATGTATACCAATTTTTAGTATAACTGCTTTATTATCTCCATATTTCATCGTTTTAACACTTTCTTACATTTAAAGAGCTGTATCTAAAATTCTTTCTGTCGGATTCAAATTATCTGATATATTATAATCTTTTAAACCTCCTGCAGCCATATAAGTCTTACCTACAGTTTCTATCTTTTATAATTCATTTGCTTAACAAAATTAATCAAATTAGCGATACAAATTATCTAAAAATTCTACAACTTTTATTTATTCATTTCTAATTATATCATCAAAATCATAAATATCACAAAATAAAATTGCAACATCTCCCTAATCTTCTGATATTTATATTTATCCTTTTGACATTCTTTCTTTTATAAATCGAGGCATTAAAAGACCTAGAGCATCATTTAACTTTTTATATTCATCTAATAATTTATTTTGCAAAATATATTAATATCTTTATAAGAATTCAGTTTTATACACTTAAAATATTAATGGAAGACAAATTTCTACTACAATTAAACCATGATTTAAAATGTAATATGGATCACCATCATTCAATATTCCTACCATCAACATATCTAAAATTGCTGATATAATGCATACACAATAATATCCATAAATTCCTAATAAGGGATGATGAACCAAAGAAATAGAAATTAAAAACATTAAAGTTTCATTTAAATCAGTATCTAATAAAGCATGTAAAACTATAAAAAATAAAAACCTAAAACTAAGTAAGACTAATGGTTTAGATTTAAATGTTTGTATTATAGGTAACAAGCTCATTGTAAAAAACTGAATTACAGAAATAACTAGATAGGCTATTTAAAGATTGTTAATCTATTAATATATTCTTATTCCAAATATTGTGACCTCGTATATAAGATAAATGTATTTTTTTTAGGGTTTAAGTGAATTTTGAAAATCCTTTTCTGTTCTCTTATCTGTAAATTTTAAGTCTTTTTCCATTTGATCAGTCATCTATTAATCCCCTTTAATCTTTTTTAAAAGTTATTCATCCATTATATCTTTCCCTTCAAATAATTTCTCGATAAACAGCTTTGGCTCATTTGTATTATATTCATTCAAGTATTTCAAAGATTAGCTTATCTTTTCTATTTCAATTTGATATTATGCATGAAATTAAATATCATTTTAACATGGGAAGCTAAATTCTGTAATTATCAGTAATTACTATAATATAAAGGAAATTGATAATGCAAATATTAATCCAAATATCCAAAAAATAAAATTTATATTTTATAATTAATCTATTACATCTGTGATTACAAGTCCATAAATTAATATTAATAATGATGATAATATAATGCATGAAAAAATAAGCTTAAGCATCTTTCCTAAGTCAAAGTGTGAATTTAGTTAAGTCATTAGATATTTTTACTTTTCAATTAATTCTAGATTTATAAACATAAAAATAGAGTAATTTACAAGTTCTTAATTTTAGAATATATCAAATATGTTAAAACAAATTTCAATTAGTATTGAATCTAATAATGCTAGAAAGATTATTTTGATCATTTTTGTATAAATATTACTTTATTTTATTAATTCTAATCTTTTTCGATAGATTTGAAATTAATTATTTTCATACCTTTTATAATGAATAAAATTTTCATAATTTAAAATACATGTAACAATATTGCTTGGTACTAAAACAAAGAAAATTAATTCATCTAATGTATGAAATTGATTTTAAAAGTCAATCATATATGAGAAAAAACCAAATAAAAAGCATCTGTAGATCTAAATTAAAATGATGGATTCATAATTTATGTAAGTTGTTGGACAATAATAAAATAACAATTTGAACATTTAATCAACTTTAGATATTAAAAAGTTAGGATTAGAAAGTGCACATTAAGGATCTGTTGTGAATATATTGAATGAGTAATTAGATTTATAAAAAAAATATTAATTGTCTAATCCTGAACCTATTGATGCAATATATCTTTCAGTAATTGTTATCAATTTTAAAAGTTTCCCTTTTTATTTTTCATCTAATTAATAAGCTGCAACACCTTAAGAAAAATAAAAAAGAACAACAAAATGATATTTAAGATAATCATCTTTGACTATTGCTTCAAGCGTTTCATTATTAATTACAATAAAATTTTCAACTAATTTTTATTAGTAAACTTCAAATATGTTTTATTTTTCAATTAAATTTGAGATAGATTATCTAAATTTATAATGAATAGTATTGACTTCTAGAAAAAGATCAACGGAATTCTTTTCAGCAATGTGATAAGTTCTTAAAAAAGATATTAATTCTTCATAAGTATCAATAATAAAACAAGTTTTATAATTATGTTTCAAAAGTGTTTAAAACAGTTTTTCTTAATTAAGGTTATTGTTGCAAATCTCTTATGAGACTAATTAACTTTTAATTGGTATAAATTATTTCAATCCTAAGATAAAGAATAATTAACTATCTTATTCAATCTATTAATATAGGTTATCTAATTCTTCTTCCCTATTCCCATATGTTTCATTAATTGAGTTTAATTTGTTTAAGAATTATTATGTTTACTAAAAATCTAATTATTTTTTATAATATTTAATCGACTTTTAACCATCCCAAAACATATATTCAATTGTTTCATTAATTTAAGGGAATCTCTGATCATTATAATTCTTTTCACATATTTCTTGTCTAGTATATAATAATGCTCCTTCATCTAATTCAAATGATTCAGGATCTTTAACTAAAATAGATAAATTGTTTTATCTATTTTCAGTTGGTAATAATAATGCTATAATGTCAAAGATTTTAACAACTCCCTAGATTGATACTGCTTTTTTTATTATTTGATCTTGCTTATATTCAACTTTAAAATTATCAATAGTAGCACTTGAAATAAATTTATAATCAAATATCTTCACAAAGTCTTGAATTGACTAATCAAATGAATTATAATAAATATTTTCAATCTTTTTCTCTTTCTTAACATAAACACTCTCTATGTTATTGCATAATAATAAAACAATTAAAATTTCATTTGATACTACATCAGATTTATTTAGTAGTTTATTTATAAAATCTTATTCATTGAATACATCACCAAGTATTTAATCATTACTCAAATCTTATTGAGTGGGAGTAATATTTTTTAATGATCCTCCTTATGATTTGATATTAGGATTCAATTAACTTTATGACAGATGATTACTACTTCTTTATCTCTAAATTTTAGGTGAATTCTAATATTAAATTATTGTATTTTATTATTAAGATAATTATTATGTTAATGATTATTGTTGTTAATGAATTTCCTTTTATTGTTAAGCTAATGTATTAGATTAAAATAAATTTCTTGCACTCTATTTTCTAAAAGAAGTATATGGATTTAATTTTTATTAATCTCCACTTTGTTTTTTTAGATCTTTAGAATCTTTCATTTCTTTTTACATTAGTTTATTTTATTCTTTTAAAAATCCAATCTTCTGGACTGTTTTTTTTTCTTCTATTATTCTTAATGTAGGTTATTATTTTTCAGCAAGTAATAAATCAATATCTTATGTTTTTTATTCATCATATGCTTAAAATCTATTTGTATCTAAAAGTAATTTTTCATAATTATGTTTTTGAGTAGGAGTAGTTTTTTCGATTATAGTTTATAATTTTTCATAATTAAAGTAATATCTACATTTTTCATGTATGATTAGACAAACTCTAACATCATTTTTTAAAATTTTTTATGGATTTTCAAAAACTACTACATCTGTCTTCATTAATTCTAAGATATTTTGATTTGTTAATTGATTAAATTTATATATAACACATTAAGATGGATTTTTCTTGCTTAAGGCTATATTTAATACAGAATTATTTGTTGATACTACTTTTTATACTTAAATAAGAACTTTTTTATCATATTCTTATAGTATTGGATCACTTTACTCTAATAATAATTATTATTATTATTAAATTAAATTCTATTTAATTTCAACAGATTGTTTTACTTCTAATTTGTTTATGTTGAATTGATGTATTAACAACCAAATTTAATTTATAATAAAGTAATTCTATGGTATAAGTAACAAACACATTATTATTGAATTTTGATAAGTTGGAAATTCTTAGTATTACTAATTAATCAACTTAGGAATTAAAAGGATCAAGAAGATTACAATATTTATCAAAAATAAATAAAAGCTATTTTAATTATAGTAATTCCAATTATAATAACGATCTCTTTATTAAAAGCATCCATGACCAACTTAAATTGCTATTCCAAAAATCCAATCTGTTTGATTCAAAATTTATCCTCTATAAATGATATTAACATCTGTAAATTGAGTTGCTTTTGGATCATTTTTTAATTTAATTGTTCCTAATTTACAACTTTAAAATTATATCCAACCACTTAAATTGATTAAGAATTTAGTCATAATACCTTTAGTTTTAGAAGTTTAATTTACAAATGTGCAAGGACAAGGGTATTTTAATTTAAAATCAATAAATACTTATTCCTAACTTGACTCTAAAATTAGGATATCTGCTGGACTCTTTTCTCCTTTTTAAAGACAAACAATTTAACCTATTTTTAATTACTACCATTAAATTTTCTTTGACGGACTTTTATTTTAGGTTTATAACAATTCATCTATATCTGCTAATATTCGACATTACTGTTTATTGATATTCTCTTCTAATTTCCACCTTTGTTTTAAATTATAAAAGAGTATCAAGTATGAAATAGCCATATCCATTAATAAACATAACATTGTATATAAAGTAATAAAAAATTCAGACCAGAATAATTCTGATATTGAAAGCAAATAAATTAAAGGAAAAATTGGAAGAGTTTCCATTTTGAGCAAAATTCTAACTAATTCTTTGATTACTGTAGATGCCTACTTATAACTAATCATACTTGGATTAATTGAATTTTATTTGATAAAACCTCATAATTAAATGTTTTTTGCACAATACCATTTGTAAATTCAATCTATTATAGCATAATTTATTACTCTCATGCTTTATAAGTTGTCGAATTCTATATCTTTTAGTCTTTACTAATATTTTAATGGAATCTATTTATAGACCTTTTCAATAATCCTATACAGCATAAATCAACTTTTAATATAAAATTAAACAACTTATGTATTTAATTTGAATTAAATAATAAATATACTTTAACTATCAATAATTATTCAGGTATTCAACATTGTAATCACATTCAAATAATTGATTTTTCCCAAAGATTTAAAAAAAGTGGAGTTAATTTATTTTAACATTTAAACAGAAAGGAAATCAAAAGAACATAATAAAAACTTTACAATTTGAATACAGAATATAAAATTGAATATTAATAGTTGAAATAAGGTTTTTCAACCTTTAAGCCTAAGAATATATCTTAAGTAGTTCAAATTAGAAGAGAAAAAATGCATTAATAATTATATAATTTATTAACAGTTTAAAATAATCATAATTTCAAAATTCCATTTTTATTAATTAACATATATATAATTATTCAAATATGGATCAAGAGAGGAAGTTTTTATTGTTAAAAAAGAGATTAGATGCTTTACATTATTGTTAACCTTTAGGAGTCGACTCTGTTCCTTTAGTTGAAAGATTACTTAATGATCTAGTAAAAACAACAGAAGGATTTCAATAATTAAAAAAATAATTGGAAGAAGTATATTTGTATTATAAAATAGACTAAAATTAATGCTGCTAAATTCGAATAATTGTTGTTACCCTTAAAAAAGGAAAATTAAAGAATTATTAATGAGAATAATTAATTACATATGACTATGATTCAAATTAAGGAAGAATGTGATAGTAAAGAAAATAAATGGAGATCACAAGTAAGAATGCTAGAAAGTGAGAGAAATGATTGGAAATTTATATTAAGTTAAAAAAATAATGTTGAAAAGAAATTGTAAGAAGAATTATTTAAAAAAAATAATGAAAATAATTTATCATCAAGTAATTAACCAGAAAAATCACTAAAATTAATTGATTAAATATAAGAATTAGAAAAAAAGTAATTTATTATGATTATTCATTTTAGATTATTGTAATCACAACAAGATTCAAGAGAAAATGATAATTCAAAAGTATTATTAGAAGAAAAATGCAAACATTTAGAATTTTAAATTGAAAACAGAGAAAAAGAGATTTTGAGATTAAAGTCAAAATTAGATATATAAGGAACAAATATAGAAAAATTAGCATAAGAACATCTTCTCTCAGAAACATAATAAAAGGCCTAAAGAAATTAAACTCAATTAGATTTATTAACTGAAGAAAATACAAAATTGAATGATGAATTAACAAATTTAAGAAAAGAACTCTCTCGTTATAGAAAGAAAACTAGTCAACCGTAATAATAAAGTCCTAATAAATCAGATAAAAAAAATGAATTAAATTAAATCAAATAGAGATTAGCTTAAATTGAAGAGGAGAAAGAAAAAAATTAAGAATAATTCAAAAAAATATTAAATTAAGTAGAATAAGAAAAATAATAGTTAGCTGAAAAAGTACATTTATTATATTAATAAAATGAATAATTGTAATAAAAAGCTTAAAATGCTGAATAAGTAGTATCAGCATATTAAACTGATAAAATGGTTTTTAGTAAAGCTGTAAATAATTTAAAGAATGATAAAGAAAGTACTGTATAAACATTGAAAAATTTGGAAGATGATAATTAAAAATTAAAGTATTAACTAAATGAAATGGATGATTAACTTTAAATATAAAAGTCTGAATATTAATAATTACAAAGAGAGAAAGAACTTTATGATCGAAATTATAAGAAATTAAATGATGAATATGAAAGAGAAAAAGAATTCGTATAATAATTAAGATAAGATAAAAGAGATTTAGAGAGAGAATTAGATTAAGAAAAATAGACAATTAGAGAATTAAAAATAGAATTTGAAAGAATGGATGTATCAAAATAAAACTTAGATAATCTATTATAAAAATTTAAATAAGAATAAAAATATAGTTAATAGTCTCAATAATAAAATCCAAACTAAGGTCAATAACTTATAATTGATTAATTGAGAAAGGAGAATGATTTATTATCAAAAGAAGTTTAAACAACAGAAAATTTAATAAAATCAATAAAAAAAGAATTAGGAGAAAAGGATAGAGACAATTATGAACTTAAATAATAAAAACGTTAATTAAATGATCAACTTAATGAATTATCATAGAAAAATGCAAATTTAGATTCATAAATAAAATTAAAAGTTTAAGATATTGCTTAATTAGAATAAGAAGTTGAATAATTCAAAAGAGAATAATCAAAGATGAGATTAAATTAATAAAATATTTTAGAATAAAAATAAAAAATTGAAAATGATACTGTTGGGGAATTGAAATTGCTTTAATAGCAGAATAATTCATTAAAGTTATAGGTATCTGATTTAGGAATATTTAATTCTTAATTAGAAGAAAAGCTTAAAATAGCTTAAGAATTGTTAAATGAATAAAGATTAGAGAATGATAAATTACAGATGAAATTAAGATAATAAAGTGATGAAACATTTAAGTTTTAGTAAAATTAATTAAGAAATAAAGATAAAGAGATGGATTATTATAATTTAACAAATGAGATTGAAAGATTAAGAGATTAAGAAAGAAAGAATCTGATTGAAAAAGAAAGATTTTAGAGTGAGAATTTAAGATTAGAATCATTAATAAATTAATAATCAAAACAGATGGAATTTTTAAATAAATTAAAAGAAGAATCAATGAAAGAAGCAAGAGAATTAAGATAAATGATAAATGGTTTGAAAACAAATGATCATGAAATTAAAAACACTTCTATAAAACTATCAGAAAAAGTAAATAATTATGAAATGACTTTATAAGACATAAATGAATAGTTGCAGAAAGAGGTTTAAAGATCTAATAAATTATATAATGAATTAACAGAATCCCAATAATAATAATCTTCTCTTAAATTACAAAAAACAGATAATGAAAATTAAATTAGATAACTAAAATTATTGAGTGAAAGTTTGGAAAAATAAAAGGAAGAATTATTGTAGAGATTATAATCAAAAAATAGCACAAAAATAGAGGATGAAAGATAAGTATTATAATTAAGAGAAATAAATGAAAATTTAGAAGAAAAAGTAAATTAATTATCAGATCAAAATGTCATTTTAAAAAGATCATTAGAATAATTAGATATAGAAAGAGATGAAGTTTAAAATTAATTAGATGAAGTTAGAGAGACTAATATTACATTATAATAATAGATAAAGTAAATGAATAGTGAAATTTAGAAATAATAGTCAAAATTATCAGAAGTTAGTACAAAAGGAGAACGGGGTTATGAAGCTGCATAATAATTAGAAGAAAAACTTAGAGATTAAATTTATAAAAATCAAAAACTTTAAAATGAAAATGAAAATCTAAAATATACATTATAAATAAAAGAGAAGGAATTTCATGAAATGAAATCTGACATTTAAATATTAAGTAAAGATAATCAATCCTTAAATAATTAAGTTGTAAAATCTTCTTAAGAAAAAGAATTACAATAATAACAAATTTAATTTTTGTAATAATAAGAGATTAGACTGAAAGAATAAATTAAAATGTTTGATATGGAAATGCATGATTTACAATTAAATTATAGTGAAGTGTGTGCAGAGAATTAAAGACTTACAGTTTCAATTTAATAAATATCATTGTAACATGAAGAAGTACTATAAAGAGGAGTAGAATTAGAGAAATAAGAAGATTTCTTTAAAGTTTAAATGCAAAATGCTTCTAAAAGAGAAGATTAATATTAAATTTAATTATAATAATATGAAAGAGAGATAGAGAGATTGAATAGAAAATCAGAAGAATACGAAAGATAAATTAGAGAATTAATTAAAGATAGAGATGTAATTATTTAATTAATTTTTTAGCAATTAGGGAAAGAGTATCATTCATAAAGAAAAATTTCTACTGGATTTTAGGCAGCTTAAGAAGATTTTAATAGATAAATTGCCTAATTAGAAAGAGAAAAATAATATATTGAAAATGCTAATAGAGATTTATAAAAATAAGTAGACTTAAAGGATGCTTAATTATCTTGGGAATAAAAGAGAGTAAATGAGATGGAACAAGTTATCGTATAGGAAAGATAATTATAAATGAATACTTTATAAGAGATATAACAATTAAAGGATCAAAATGAATAACTTTTATAAGAATTAGAAAAAGCATATTAACCATAAAAATTTAATTAAAGTAACAACAAAAAATCTATTAATATTGATTATAAAAATGAATCTTCATATGTATCATAATAATCATAATAAAGTGGAATAAAAGATAATAGTTAATTAGATTAATCATCTGGATGGGAAAGATTAAAATAAGAATCTGAAAATTTCAAAAAAACATTGAGTTAAGCAGCTATTTCATCATAGAATTTAAAATAAAAAATGAAATCTCTACAAAGAGAATATGAAATATAATAAAATCCTTAAAATCAAAGGTACATTTGAGAATGAATGATAATTATAATTATATGAATGCTTTATTTAAAAACAAATAATTTTCTCAATGATGATTTATTGTATTAATGCGACCTACTTTCTTAGTCTTAGGCATATCTTAAATAAACTTATCTAACTGTCCTTCTTATTTTAATTTCTCAAAATCTTCTAAATATTCTTTTAAAACTTTGAATTTTAAGTCTAAAGGTTTAGTAGGATCATATTCTTCAATAGGGTATTCCGAATATTTCTAAATTATTATAAAAATTTAAAAATACTTTTTTAATAATCTTATTTTCTCCTAAAAGTGTTAATTTTCTTTACTTTAATGATTCTGTTAATTCTGAAACAGCTTCCTTTGTCATAAGAATTGATTTGAATTTAAGCAATTTAATAATATTAAGTTCTTTAATTGTACAAGTTTCTAAGGTTTATAAATTACTAGAAGCTCTTAAAAAAAAGTCATCAGGATCAACACTAGTAACAATCAATAGTGGTTAAGTATAAGATTCAAAACTTTTCATTAATTAAACCAAATGTTTAGTCTTTCCATCATTTAATTTTTCAGTATCTATAATAGTGAATTTACCTTCAATAAGTGCTGCTGTTAAACCTACCTTGAATGCTTATAATCTAACTTTTCTTGGTAAATCAATTCTTAATGATCTTATTTTTCTTCCATGTGCTTTAATGCCTTTATATCTTCCAGGTCTTTATCTATGACCTTAACGTGCTTTTCCTGTCTTTTTTTATGGATGATTCTTTGCTCCTGATGCTGCTGCATCTCTTAATTCCAATGTTGCTTTTGTTATTTTTTTATTATATAAATCTGTATATCTGACTAACCTTTATACTAAATCTCTTCTTATAGGCTAATTGAATATTTCTATTTTTTATCAAATTATTTATTTACCTTAATCTAATGTTATTGATTATCCTGTTGGTTATGCATCATGAAATCTTATGATAGGTAATGATACCTCATTTTTAAATGGTCTCAATGACCATGGAGTAGCTAATGAAGGTGTATTTGCAGCAAAACTAAATCTAAATATTTTTAAGCACTGCTATAGCATTTTTTTAATTATCTATATTTAATTTATATATCATAAATATATTATCAACATATTAATATAATCAGAATTTTTTATTATTTAGTTATTTGCTGTTGCTATTGCTCTTTTTTAAGTAAGTGCATAATAGTCTTTATGTCAATGGTTATTTGATATTAAATTTTTCACTTCTTATAAACACTCTTGGTGTTTTAGATTCTAAAATACTTAAGCTATCTTTTTTTTTATTTTCAAGTTAATTTATATTTGGAATATTAAAAATTGATTTTTTTTATTAATTAGCAAAATAATAACTAGATATATCTGTTTTTATACGAAATTATGCAACATTAGGAGATTATTTTATTGATTTTTTCTTCATAAGATCTCTTTCCAATGTTTTAACCGTTTCTTTATTCTTTTCAAAGTTAATTTCAATATCTTTTCCTACCATAATTTAATTTCTCTCTATCATTTACTTTTAGACTTTATTAAATAATATTTCAGTTTGTTAATTCAATTTAGATTTGAGATCCTATTCAATTTTATTAGTTCTACTGATTTTTTTCATTAAATTTTATGCCTAAATTAATTAGATTACTGGAATTAGAGATTCTCTAGCACTTCTTTAAACTATTTATTTCTAAAGTTTGTCGCATAAAAATTAATTAATATTATACTAATATAAGCAGATGATGATCCAATTAAACTTAGATCCTTATTTGAAGGTCTAACTGTTTAAGGTTGAAGGGATAACTTAGGTGAAGCTGGATATCTTTATTTTATTGCAGAAAATTTATTATCTCTTATTTCTTTTTTACAAATCAAAATTTTCTTTTTAACTTTTCCACCACATTCACTACAATCACAACTTTAATTTAATTCTTAATGGTCAAAATAATATATTTATTCACATGGCATTGCAAAATTCTTAAGCAAACTTTTCCATCCTTATAGTTTTCTTATTTTTTACTTTTTTTATAATATTTATTAAATCCAAATAATTTATAATTGTTTTCATTATCCTAAACAGAAACTCTCTTATAAAATAATTAATTTAGAGTTTTTCCCTAATCCATTTAATGATTAATTTCGAATAAATTCATAGTGTAATATAATTAATAAATATTTTTTTTATTCTTTAATTTACACTTATTTATATAAAATCATTGCTCTTTTTTTACTTTTTAATTTTTCTAACGTAATTACAATCTAGCTTAAATAGATAATTCTTAATTTTCTAATTATGACTAAATTTGTTATTTATTTTCTGATTATTTTAAATTTACCTATTATGCTACAGTAGGTGTTGAATTGAGTGATTTTGAGAAATAATTACTTGCATTGTTATTTTCTTTTTTTATAGCTTACAATTCTTACTATTATTATTATATAATCTATTATTAGATATCAATTTTTTTTTTAATTTCCTCATGTTTATTTTAATTATTCTTATATAAGTATTCTTCATCTCTTGGTGTAACAAATTCAGTCAATTTTTCAGTTCGATCTGCAAAATCTTCAAAGTCCTTAAAAAAAGGTTTCTGTTCTTAGTAATTTATTCTTTATTAATTATTAGTGGATATTGATTGGACATGCTAAGATGAGGAATGATTTCTTCCTTAAAATTTATCTGTTTAATTCAAGATGTTCTTAATTTTATCAACGAAATAATATTTGATAGGATCCATTAATCCATCATAAATTTAAACACATTCTTGATACATAGCAACTAATTCTTCAACTAAAGAATGTGACTTAACTTATTACAAATTAAAAGTATTTTCAATTGTAGATAAAGAAAGAAAGAACTATTTTGATAATCTTTTTGTTCCATCTTATGAAGGTTTATATAAAAATTCTGGAGTCATAAATTATTCATCAATAGTAAATGTACCATTAGATTATTTTTATTTTTCTAAATTGTTATCTTATTCTTTCTTTCCAAATGCAGATTTAAAGAGCTTCATAAAATGGAAATTTTATTAAATTTAATTTTAATTTATGTATTCATTCTAAAAATATTTGCTCATAAGAGAAGTCTAAACAAATAATTTTAGTAATAGATATATATTTAAATTTTTAAATAGATATAATATGTAATTATACTATTTTGATGTGTGAATGTATAATATGATATTATATCACCATTCTGGCTTTGGTCTTTGCTTTTTAGCAATTTCTCCTCTGGCTAGATCAGGGAAGTTTTCTTCACATGATAAAGGAACATCTTTAAAGTAGTAATTTCCATATGTGTTATTCTATCTTTCCCTTTCATATGACCATTATCTTTCTCCTAATAAACAATGCTTATAAAATTTAGTGGCTGTCATTTTAGTCACTTACCACCATAAATAAGATGCTCCAAGTAGATACAATCCATAACCAGCTAATCCAACATAACCAAAACTTTAATTATTTACTTATAAATAAATACTTATAAAAGAATGAAGTTTATCTAATGCTTGTTATACCTCTTTGTCCTATTGGCAAGAACATTTATCTATGCGTTAATGCAGCTTTAATATTTTAATACTTTTTTTACCTTGCAAAAAGAATCCTGTTGTACATATCCATACGGGGAATATTCGAACAAAATTAAAACATTTTAAGTCCCTTTCTACAAAATCTTAGATATTTCTTGACACATGGATTCTTAATTATTTTTATTCACTATTTACCTTTGCAATTTATTTACAAAATAGGTTCTTGGATCTATTTGTTTACCCTCCTAAGCATTTTCTTACATTATTTCAATATATCTTTTATAAGCAGGGTTATCACCATGTTAATAAAATAACAATGGATCATACAATTTTTGAATCTCTTCCTTCAATGTTTTAGCATCCCCTTTAGACATTTTTAATTTTATTTAATTAATATAATACAAATCAATAAATAGCATAAAATATCTAAGTTTCTTCATAAATTATTTGAAATCTTCAACTATTCTAAACTTAAATCTTATTTTTACTCTAAATTCAATCATTTTTTACTTTTTTCAATTTTTTATTTATCTAATATGGTTTTATAATCCTATTAAGGAACTATAATTGACTTTAAAAGAAAAAATTTCTTTTGACTCAAAGAATTATTTTGTTTTTTTTTATGTAAAATTGGAACAAAGAGAGAGGGAAGGACTGAAATTGTATACCTTCAAGTTATTGGAGTTTTTTCAAATTTGAATATATTTTAGTTTCGGTGAAAAGGATTTTTATCAAATTCAAAGATTTTCTACTTTATTATGCCATAAAAAAGTGTGAAAAGAAATGTTTCTTTTCATTTGTA